ACACACACACACACACACACACACACACACACACACACATGCACACATTGAGATCAACCTGCTGCCATCTGCTTCACGAGCTCTGTACAATCCTTGCAGAATACATTATTCACTGCAATACATCACATCACATTTCCTCAATGTCATAGCCTTGTGCCGAAGAAGTCTGAGAGAGAATGGAGGAGAGTGGAGAGCAAAACATCCATTGTACCGGCAGAAAGAACGAGAAAAGATTTGGCCCGTTTTGTGGTAGAGATGCGGAGAAAATTAAATACACGTTTGTTTGACTTTTAGGTGAAACAAGGCTGTCMGCGAAACGTGTTCCTTTTTCTTCCACCAGCCAAGATTACGATTCCAAACAAAGAGGCTAGTGTATGAGAACGAAGGGTAACAGCTACTGAGAGAAAGGGGCACACACGCGGTGAGAAAAGTACAGAACCAAGAGTACTCGTCTGCAGCCTGAAAAACTGAAAAGTTCTGCTTACTTTCCACCCAAACGTGGCTCTCAAGAGCTAAAAGCACGCGTGCTTTCAACGTTTTCTTGCTATAGCACACCTGATTTTAATTTAAGTCTGACTAATAATGAAGGGTGCGTTTCATGTTCGCACCTGTGCATGGACGTTATCTGTGAAAGATGTACAAAAGCAAAACTCATGAGGATGCAGCCTTCATTTACACACCTGTTCTTGTTCAGTTATTTTAGGTCACAGTGTCTACCATATCAAGTGCGCTGCGGCAGCACTGTCCAAAATGACCTTTCTGAAAGTGTCAAGACTCTCACATCGACAGATTTTAAGATACAGACGTACCCACCAAGTCTGAATCACAAAGCCCTGCAGACAGGGCTGTAGGTGCAATTCCTTTGATAGCCACTAAACGCAAACCCAGCTAATCTCAAATTAAAATGTATCATCAGTATCAATAATAAAAGTTTCCTTCACGTCATGATGCAGTTATGTATAAGGACAACATAAGAATAGGTGCAATGTGATAATTGAAAATATTTTAGCAATGTACTAGCCTGGTTAAAAYCAGACCCTGTCCTTCACTTTGCYTCGTACAAAGGTCTGGACTTGATGCATAGAGAATCGATTTCTTGCAGGAGGCGTGGCCTCTGCTGAAGCATGTGTGTGTTGTCGGTGTGAAGGGAGGCTAAGCTAAAAAGCTAACCGGAAATCGCGTGTGCTGTAAACAACCCTACTGAGAGGAGAAATGTACCGAGCCAAACGAAACGACTGTAAATGAGAGCTGCTGCTTTGTCAGACAAATTTAATTAATTTGGAAGCCTTATCAACACAGACTGGCTTCATTCACTTCCTCCACTGCCGTATGCTAAAATAACTAGCAGACACTGCGCAGAACATCGACGTTCTGTTCTCTGATTGGCCCGGCTAAAAATCTGCCAGCGAAATCCTTGTCAATGGGAGAAGTCCCAGACTGAGCAGTGAAGGGAAACTAGAATTGAGTGGAACTGCGTAGGAAGGCAAGGGCCAGGCTAGCAATGTACATTTCTTCATATGTTCTGGGCAAGCTTGGCTTTGATGTAAGAAAGGGGGGCTTTGAGAAAAATAGGTTGGCATCCACTAGTTTTAGTATAAAACCATTGCAGACAGAAATGATCAAAAGACAATCAGAGCAGCAAGAGGATGTTATTGCATCACATACAAAATACATGTGTGTATACATATAAACATATCATGCCATTTTTACTACCAGTGCAAAGTATAGGAATATAACTTTTTCCAAGTAAACACAAAATAATTAAATCCATCTTATTGTTTTAACCACAGTTTTGCTGTTTGGAGAGCGAAAGGACACAAGACTTACAACGTAACAATGAAATCCAAACATTCTTAAGGGATCTGATTAGTCTCTACATGCCAGAAACATCTGATTCAGACATTTCGTGTTGTTCTGCGTAATCTGGACAAGTCRGGCTGTCCACAAACTGCTGTTAGTTAAAGTGGCTGGAGTCCTATTTTTCAGGGTTTGCAGAGCAAATATTTGACTTAGTTTTGCCAGATGGTGAAACGGTGAGAGCATAAGACAGAAAAAAATGACCTCATCAGGGTAATTGGTTTTGGACTTCACAGACTGTTGCTGTTTGGCTACAAAAAATATGGCA